CACACACACACACACACACACACACACACACACACCACCCACCACACACACCCCTACCTCCCCTCTCTTTCTCCTTGTCTCTCTCATGCGTTGTTATATCAAGATTGCCTTTGTTAACAAAGTGATTTTTTACATATATGTAAACGTTTCCTTGTCTGCATACTCTAAGTTAAGTTTTTTTTGTTGCTGGTTTTTGTTTTTTTTAATTCCTTGTATGCTATTTTTAGACATTTTGTTTGTTTCTGCAGTTCTCTGCAGGTAATGTTGAAAAAAATAATCTCCAAGGAGGCAAATGAAAAAATAATCTCCAAGGAGGCAAATGATACAACACTTTGTCTTCACTTTCTTCTGCTGTCGATTTCTGTCCCACCTTTGTTCACAAATTCCGTCGCGATTTTGTTTTTTTTGGTTTTTTAAAAAATATAAATATCAATTTTTTTGTCCCCCCCCATGATTGCGTGGGATGAGAACGTGTGAGAGATGTGTTGCGCCCCTGTGGGTCCAATCGTTACGATGAGCCATTATTACTGCCTTCTTTGTGTCTTCCGTCTACATCTGCATCATCGCCGTCATCGTCATCGTCGTTGTTGACCCCCCGCCCCACATGGTGCGCTGAAGTGTGCGTGTAAATGTGTGGGAGGGTGGGCGTGTGGCGACTGAGGACGGCGATTGCGTTTGTGAAAAAAAAACTTTTCTTGTTGTTGAACAAAGCGAACAGGATGTAGAGAGAGAGAGAGAGAGAGACAGAGAGAGAGAGAGAGAGAGAAAGATTGTGGATGGGGTGATGTGTTGTCGTTGTTTAGTCAACGACACAGGGCTCAGGCAGCGGCAACAGCAGCGTCATTTCTGGTGCGGTGCCGCTGGCGCTCGCTCCCTTTTTTTGAATTTGTACGCCGAGGTGACCTAGACCGTAGCAGAATACTTTTCGACTGCTCGGTGTAAGACTGGGTCGTATCTCACTGTTCAAAATGGCGTACGATGGAGTCTTATACTTGCACGTAAACAAGTCGTGCTGGCGTTGTAAAAATGATTGAATTTGAATTTATTTTCTGTCCGTTACGTAATGATGTATTGATTTGTACCAGGCGAGAGAGTTGTGTAGTTTTCCTCCGAATTAAAAAAATTTCTAATGTGTAATGTCTTGAGAAGTGGCCGTCTCTCAGAGGGATGTGGCAGTTGGTGACCGGTTCTCGCGTCTCGTGGAGACGATGGTCAGTTTATTACTTACAAAAGAACTCATTTTTCCAGAACAGAAGGTGCCGGCGCTTTTAAGGTCCTGACCTACATGTGTTACGGGTGCCGTTTTTAGAAAGACCCCAAAAACTAAACTGGAAAGTGGACTCGAACTTGGATATATTTGAAGTGGAGCAAGAGGAAGGTTCTGGTTCAAAGGATGGGTGGGCCCTGTTCTTATGGTTCAGATATTCCATTTTGTAAAGACCTATGGTAGAAAAGAGAGGTAGAAGATTGAAAGTTAGTGGTGGAGTGAGAGTAGAGTGTCCTCGTGGGTTTTGTTTTTGAGCTTTTGGCAGCTTGTTTGGGCGCGCTCGGCCCCCTGAGTTTTGTTTTAGTTGTCGAGTCTTTTTGTGTGCGTTATGTAGCGGCTGATGGTGTGGATCTCTGTAATATAATGTGGACTTCCGTTATCTAGTACAACTTTCGGTACTGCGATTTCGCAGGGTAGCAGGTGAACTATGGAGACTCGAGGTGTTTAGTGAAAGGATTTGTCTTTGACATGTCGCTACATCAGAATGACGTTTTCTCTGCTCAGTACCCACTTTTGAGAAATTTGACTTCAAACATTTCGAGTTTGACGTGTCAAGCTTTTTGGAATACAATTACAGGGCTGCCAACCAATCTGTTTTTTTTGGTGTAATCATTACGATTTTTTAGCCTCTGCGAAATTTCGATCGTAAGGCGATTTATTACGAATTTTACCGTCAGCAGATTTTTGGCTATAAAAAAATATTTTTGGCTCTTTTAAAAATTTATTTTACAAGTTTTAGTGAAGACCAGTAAATCGTCTGCCAATAGTCGGAAAACCTCCTAATTCTTAATCAACACCCAAAGGAACAGCTTGCCCACTTCGCATGAGTTAGCCTTGCCCTCGATAATACCGTATACGAGTAGAAGCATTGTTCGTTGTAATGTAGTAATTTGAAAATGAGAGCACTTTCAAATTTTTATGGGAAATTACTAATTTTCTTCATGGTCATTACTAAAAACCATGGAGATGGGTTGGCAGCCCTGCAGTTATTTGAATATCTTGATAACAATTCCGAATATTCTTACGATTTTGATAGAGCAAATAAAACATTTGGTATCTGGCCTTGTGGTCTTAGTAAACTGAGAAGGGCCAAAAATGTCGGATAGAACCTTGTGGTTCGGAGGAAGCTATATTTGGAGGCCCTGGGAGTGGACACGTGCTCTGTGAAAACCACAGAGTCCAGCGATGATTTTATGAAAATGCACTTTAGATGAAAGTTCCATTTGTTGTTGATTGATTTTGTGGTGAAAAATCAGGGGTTTTTTTTTTGCTCTTTCTGTAAGATTATGACATTCTTTGCCATATCGACAGACCGAAGGGCTAGAACCCAAATGGCCGCATTATGAAAAACCAAGAGTTAGGATAGTTCTGCTGCTACCCTGTGACTTGACCAAGCTATGGAGCTGTGGGAAGCTTCCTAGTGTCATTTAGCGCTATGCAAGTTTCTATAGTACAAATATTGCAGTGTGAATTTCTATAGTGCTATACGAAGTTCCGTAGTGTGCTACGAGTTTCCTTGTAGCGATGTACGAATTTGTAAAGTGCTATGGGAATTTCCGTAGTGCGAATTGACCTTTCATATTACAATATATGAATTTCTTTACTGCTGTGGGAATTTCCATAGTGCAATACGAACTTCGCTATTTCGATATGAATGACCTACTTACTATGTCTCATGTGTAGGGGGGTATGTGAGTTTTAAAATCATGTTTTCATCGCTACTAGACTATGGTTGCATTTTATTTCTCGAGGGAGTGTTGAGGAAGATCTGAGCTTGAAATTTTGTAACAAACATTTTTTTTCGGTCAAACACCGATCTGATGTCAGCTGATTGAAGAGTTTTACCTTCTGAAATGAATGCTAGATCTGTATATTTTTCATATTTACTCTTTTTTGTTTGTGTTTTGGTTGTTGTTGAAATTACTGAGTTTACAGTACAGTACAGTTTGTGAGTTTGGTTTTGTTTGCGAGAGATTGTCATTGTAGAGCAAAGTTTTCCATTGGTGGTTCAGAGTAATGGAAGTTAGAACAAAGGTTTGCCTGCTGGGAGCTGGTGTGGGATTTGTTCTTCTTTGACTGGCGTCTTGTGGAGGTAGCGGGTCGGCACGTTGCCGTGGCGTCTTGTGGTGGTAGAGGGTCGGCACGTTGCCGTGGCGTCTTGTGGTGGTAGAGGGTCGGCACGTTGCCGTGGCGTCGTGTGGTGGTAGCGGGTCGGCACGTTGCCGTGGC